GTCTGTTATAGACATTATGTATGCCTGTTATATACATTGTGTATGTCTGTTGTATACATTGTTTAAGTCTGTTATACACATTGTGTATGCCTGTTATATACATTGTGTATGCCTGTTTTATACATTGTTTAAGTCTGTTATAGACATTATGTATGCCTGTTATATACATTGTGTATGTCTGTTATATACATCGTGTATGTCTGTTATACACATTATGTATGCCTGTTATATACATTGTGTATGTCTGTTATATACATCGTGTATGTCTGTTATACACAGTATGTATGCCTGTTATATACATTGTGTATGTCTGTTATATACATTATGTATGCCCATTATATACATTATATATGCCTGTTATATATAACATGTATGTTTGTTATATACATTATGTATGCATATTATATGCATTGTGTATGTCTGTTATATACATTGTGTAAGTCTGTTATACACATTGTGTATGCCTGTTATATATATTGTGTATGTCTGTTTTAGACATTATGTATGCCTGTTATATACAGTATGTATGCATGTTATATGCAGTGTGTGTGTATGTTATATACATTATGTATGCCTTTTATATACATTATGTATGCCCATTATATACATTATATATGCCTGTTATATATAATATGTATGTTTGTTATATACATTATGTATGCTTGTTATATACAGTATGTATGCCTGTTATATACATTGTGTATGTCTGATATACACATTATGTATGCCTGTTATATACATTGTGCATGTCTGTTATATACATTATGTATGCCTGTTCAGTTTACACATGTTCTATATACATCATGTATGCCTGTTCAGTTTACACATGTTCTATCGGAATATCGGACAGCAATCCCGCTAGACCCGACATCTCAAAAGTCTGTGTCAAGGACAATTTATAAATGTTGTAATGTTAGACACTCATTCTTTACAAACCAGTAATAACCCAATACCTGTGCACAAGTCTATGATTATAAGTCTACTTACATTCCAGCGGTTCAGGAGGTGGAACAAATGGTATATCTGTAAATAAATAAATGTTACATCTGTAAATAAACAAAGGGTACATCTGTAAATAAACAAAGGGTACATCTGTAAATAAACAACCGGTACATCTGTAAATAAACAAAAGGTACATCTGTAAATAAACAAAAGGTACATCTGTAAATAAACAAATGGTACATCTGTAAATATACAAATGGTACAAATGTAAATCAACAAAGGGTACATCTGTAAATAAACAAAAGGTACATCTGTAATTAAACAAACTTCTAATTTAATAACGGCAACCAAACTAAACTGATTGGAACTTAAAATGTGATGAGTCTGATGTGATACTTGTACAGTATAATCTGATTGGACAACGGTAATCTGTTGGATACATGTAATCTGATGGGATAATGGTAATCTGATGGGACACTGGTCAGCTGATGGATACTGGTAATCTGATGGGACACTGGTCAGCTGATGGATACTGGTAATCTGATGGATACTTGTAATCTGATGGGATACTGGTAATCTGATGGGATACTGGTAATCTGATGGATACTGGTAATCTGATGAGACACTGGTAATCTGATGGGGTACTGGTAATCTGATGAGACACTGGTAATCTATTAAGATACTGATAATCTGATAAGATACTGGTAATCTGATGAATATTGGTAATCTGATGGGATACTGGTAATCTGATGGATATTGGAAATCTGATGGGATACTGCTTATCTGATGGATATTATTAGTATGATGGGACAATGGTTATCTGTAGGATATTGGTAATGTGATGGGATACTGGTAATCGCATGGGATACTGGTAATCTGTTGGATACTGGTAATCTGATTGGACACTGGTTATCTGATGGGATACTGGTATTCTGATGGGGTACTGGTAATCTGATGGGATACTGGTAACTGTTTGATATTGGAAATATGATGGGACACTGGTTATCTGATGGATATTGGTAATCTGATTGATACTGGTAATATGATGGGATACTGGTAAACTGTTTGATATTGGTAATATGATGGGACACTGGTAAAATGATAGGACACTGGTAATCTGATTGGACACTGGTAATCTGATGGGACACTTGTAATCTGATGGGATACTGGAAATATCATGGGATACTGGTAATCTGTTGGATATTGGTAATATGGTTGGATACTGGTAATATGATGGGATACTGGTAATATGATGGGATACTGGTACATGTAATCTGTTGGATATTGGTAATATGATGGGATACTGGTAATATGATGGGATACTGGTTATCTGATGGGACACTGGTATTCTGTTGGATATTGGTAATATGATGGGATACTGGTAAATCTGATGGATATTAGTAATCTGATGGGTCACTGGTAATCTGATGGGATACTGGTTATCTGATGGGACACTTGTAATCTGATGGGATACTGGAAATATCATGGGATACTGGTAGTCTGTTGGATATTGGTAATATGGTTGGATACTGGTAATATGATGGGATACTGGTAATATGATGGGATATTAGTAATCTGATGGGACACTGGTAATATGATGGGATACTGGTTATCTGATGGGATATTGGTAATCTGATGGACATTGGTAATCTGGTGAGATACTGATAATCTGATAGATACTGGTAGTCTGGTTGGATATTGGTAATCTGATAGATATTGGTAATCTGATAGATATTGGTAATCTGATGGATATTGGTAATCTGATGGATATTTGTAATCTGATGGGATATTGGTAATCTGATAGATATTGGTAATCTGATAGATATTGGTAATCTGATAGATATTTGTAATATGATCTGATAGGATACTGGTCTCATAACAAAACTTTTAAAAGATCATCAAACGTAGATCATTCCAAACAGTTAATTATGCGTGTTACCAACTACATGATGTACTCACTACAAACTATCAAGACATGTGTCCCCATGATTAAATTAAGAAAGCGATGTTTTCCAACATGGTATGACAATGACCTTATAGCAATGGTTAAAGAGAAAGAACGTGCGTACAAGGTCTATGTCAAGGCCGGTAAACGACCTGATTCTCCTGAGTATGCTATTTTTGACACATGCGTTAGGTAACGCAAGTGTCTAGGGGAACGTACATACTACGAAATTTGCTTGAAGTAAAACTTCACTTGCGATATATATGCCACCTATGACTATATATAGTCTTTCGGTCCTTATATGGTAGCTGATATCTCCCTATATGGATGTCATTCTATCACATTTCATTCATATGCAAATGTTTTTGGCAGCGACCCCTAGCATTTTCATTCATACCGTAGTGACGCCATTTTGTGGTTCGCCAACTTATAGGCAGAGAAAGCATTCACTTTGATACTTTCTTAACTAGCCATATGTAAGTGAAAAATACAACAATGCATGTATTTTGTGAGTATACAATTAATAAAAATATTCTGATTAATTTTCTGACGATGCTGTGCTTGCTGAAATTGTGCTTCCCGCACTCTTCCCTTCCTCTAACCGTCAAACAGCAAGCAGCCGAGCGGGCTGGATGTGACCGAAGGTCATGCACCGCCGCGGTTTACCTGTATTTCTGCAAAACCTTATCTCCCTTAGTAGATCATTGGACTAACCTGATCAGCCGGATTTGAATGAAGTCGGTCTATTTGTAGAGTCAAACCATATTTGTGAGTTAGCACAAAGCTTTATCTCCCTCACTCAGATATAATATTAGACTCACCCAATCAGTCAGCTTTTAGATGATTTTGTGCCGCTTTTGTAACACTAGTAAAACCTAAAAGAAATACTAGCAGAGACGTATATATTGTAATATATACGTCTTTGGTAATACCACGGCATTAGATCTAAGTTCATGGTAATACACATAATATTTGATGATAACCATGAATTGTTTACAGATAATGAACGGCAAAAGATGGAGTGCGATATTTTCTCTATCAAACATGAACCTCACAAAATATTTTATCAGTACTCATGAAAATGAGTAAAATAAATACGGTGTGTTTAAGACAGGGATTGAAAGACATGTTTGTTACGAACTTGTTACACATTTATTCAATTTAATAACGCAGTGTTTCTATATTTACTGTTTTATGTTGTCTTTGATATATTATAGGAATTTTTTGTACTAGAGTGGAACCTACTTATTATGATGTCGCTTATTATAATTCTTTTCCTATTCTCGAAGTCGGTCATCCGGGTATTTGTCACGTGACTTTACCCGGATACGAAGCCGCCATATTTGTTTGGGGGTAATACGGGGTACCGGTAAAGCCGCTGAAAATGCGGAAAAGCTGTTGTGTATCGGGTGGTACTTCGAATAAGAAGAAGAACCCGGGTTTTCAATTTTTTATCATCCCATCGGAAAAAAACAGACGTGCGAAGTGGTTGTCAGCCATCAATAGAGCGTTTTTAAACGAAGACGGCACAGTTAACAATAGCAAAGGTTGGTCTCCGCCATCTGCCCATTGTTACGTCTGTTCAGCACACTTCATTTCTGGTGAGTTTTTCTTTCTACTCCTATCTATCTTTCTATATGTTATACTCCACAGAGACCAAAATGGCTTTAATGCGGTCAGAACCCTTATATACACGTCACGCTTAGATTTACGTCTTGTCTGTACTGTAATATTCACGCATCACAGGGCCCTGACACATCACGATTGTTTGGTTGTAATACCTAATAATATCTTAAATAGACAGACGAGGCCTGTTTCAATTCTTAATACTAAATGTTCGCCATCGTTAATATTTTACCTATTGAGAACCACAAGCAAGGATATCAATAACATCTGGTGTTTAAAGTGAAATCCCTGTAATACTGATCAAGTTTATTGACCAAGAGTTTGGTTGTATCATTTAATCATAAATACTTTTTATTGTTTAAGGTGAGAAGATAAATGATCCACGTCACCCAGATTATGTGCCTTCTGTTTTCCCCCACAATGAAAACAGTTGCTATCAGTCAACATCATCGAAGTCTACAGAAATGATGGACCGGTATCAGAGTGTCATGAAGAGAACAGCTAACACAGGTTCAGGTTTGTCATATTATTACATATCAATGCAATATTATTGATATTTAGCCAATGATTTAACATGTGATTTCTTAAAGTCAATGATGAACATTATTGAAAAAAATGGTTGGATCACAATAAACAAAGAAATAAGGGAACTTTTCATAAATGTTTAAGAGTAAGCACAAGTTCAAAAAATGATGTTCAGTTACCCTATCACTACTTATTAGTCAATAGGTTGTGACTTTTGAGTGTTTAGAGAGAGTACTGCGATTTAATATCAACACAGGCCATTTACTGTTTTTTTTCTCTCCATATTTAGGTGTATCACAGGTAAGGAAGAAACTAAAATTGAACAACCCAGTTCCTGAGACCAACAATCAAGATGAAAGGCCACCAAATCAGTCAGAACTTACTGATCCAACACCCATGAACAATGCTGATGAAGAAGATAATGAGGTATTGGTCTCCACAATGTCACCATCAGAAAGTGATCATGAGTCTACACACAAGACTGTACCTGAAACACCAATGCAAAGATCAATGGAGCCATCTGAGAGGGAAATGTTATACACAGAAATTGATAACTTGAGGCATGAACGGGATGAGGCCCTTGAACAAGTAAAATCTCTCGAGCAACTTATAAGTGCATCTTCCTTGTCATCAGGTAGTGTGGAGGGAAATGATAATGCGTGCAAAAACATGATTGGGATAAGTTGGGGAACATTTTTGAAACTTTTCCTTTTTCTGAGTGATTTACAAAATCAACCAACAACATACCATTAAAGGAACAGTTATTCTTAACACTTATCAAACTAAGGCATAATTTATCATTTGATTTCATTGCTCATGTGAAAGGAATTCCAAAAACAACGATGCTGGATTACTTCTGGAAGTGGATTGACTTGCTCCATGCCAAAATAGGGTTTTTAGTGAAATGGCAAGATAGGGAAACAATTTTCAAAACAATTCCTCCTGTGTTTAAGCAGAAATTCCCTCGTTTAACATCGATAATAGATTGTTTTGAAATTTTTATGGAGGCTCCTAGAAGTTTATTGGCAAGAGCACAGTGTTACAGTAGTTATAAGAGACATACAACAGTGAAAGTATTTATCTCTTGCAGTCCACTAGGTGCAATCAACTTTATATCAAAAGCATGGGGAGGTCGTGTTTCGGATGTACAAATTGTGCGCGATTCAAACTTCATTGATACAAAATATCATATGCCTGGTGATCAAATTTCAGCTGATCGTGGGTTCACTTTATCTGAGGATTTTACTGCAAAATGCAGTGCAGAACTCATTACTCCAGCTTTCACTAAAGGGAAGAAACAATTGTCTGCCTCTGAAAATGAGTTATCCAGAAAAATTTCTTCTGTGAGAATTCACATTGAACGAGTTATAGGACTGATGAAGAACAGGTTTACCATATTAAAAGGATCAATGCCAGTGCGCTGTGTACAGAGTTTGAAAGATGAAAGTTTCCAATCTCCTGTATCAAGTTGTGATAAATTGATAACTGTTTGTGCTGCTTTAACCAATATGGTCCAAGCATTGTGTACAAAGAGTAATTATAACTGAACATTGTCATATTGAACAGTCTCGAATTTATATTTTTTTGTTGAGAAATTCAGATGAATTTGTTTGCAGTTATCTTTGGCAAGATAAAATTAGTCAATGCTTTTAAGAGATAATTACTTTGAGACTTTCATATAATCAAAGTATCCTGTTATCAAGGACTTTCTATATTGTATCCAATCAAAACACTGCTTGAAGTTCGCTCCAAATCAACTTCCTTGGTAACTATTAATGATATTCATACTATAGATATTGTATAATGTTTAAAGTCTCATGACTTTCAGTGTTCCTCCACCATCACCATGTATACGTAGCAGTCAACAAATAGCTGTGCTATGATATATGATGATTGCCTCGTAACTAATCGGTATCAATATTAATAAATGTACAGTAATGAAAAACCTGGATTCATGAGTTGCTTCTCTTCTATTTCATTTAGATAGGCTTTCTTTGTTTTGTCTCATCATATGGAGTGGTTGCATTGCAATCCTTATAATTACACGGCGGAAGAAAAATAAAAATGAAAAGAACTCATGTTTCATATTCAATCAGGGACCAGCTGTTCAAAAGGTGTGGGCTGAGTCAATGTTTAACAACATTTTTCAACATCTAATAATTTGGGCTACATACATGTACGAGGTAAAAACTCGTGATATTACTCTATTATAATATTTAGTTGCTTTCTATTAGGTTTAACTCATTCAATGTTTATATTTTCAAGATACACAAAATATTGAATTTGCCCTTAATATAATCACCTTTTGAATAACTGGACCCAAGTATAATACATAACATTAAAGGACTGACAATGCTGTCAAGAAAAATATGACACAAGACGTATAAAACTGAGTCTTCTGTTTTAATGTATACATAAAAAGTATTCACAGATGAAACAAAACAAACAGAATTATGCAAATTATTTAATAATGTATTGTGATCGTTACTCAACCCCCCCACCCCCAATATTCAATATATTAAGTAACATCAATAAAATAAATATAATTTATATTTGCAACTAATATCAGCATCTTGCATCACTACCACTATAGCTACTATCAGGTTTGATTTCTCACATCCCAGCCACTTCTATCAAGTTCTCATAATTGCAACACTTCCACTATTATCAGGAGCATACATCACTGCCTAGCTCTATATATATAGTACCACATTTATTTCAAGTCCTTTCACCCGTCACTATATGATGTTGTCACTTTCACCTCTCATGTTCTTGCTAATTATAAAATATTGTATATATTAAGTAAATTAAATAATTACTATTTCACATTGACTTGTTATAGGTCAAGCTTTGGCAATATAAATATGTTTCATATTGATCACCTTCAATAATTACAAATAACTATCAAGATACATATGGTATCCTCAAAACCCTTGCAATACACAGCACTAACCAATAATTTTACATGACATATATCACATTTATTTCTTCTTCTTTTGTCGACGACATTTTGGACAATACCAAGTTTTTGCTTTCGGGAGTCTCTTCAATTTCAAACAGGATGGATGGAACCAGTCATTGCATCTATCACATCCCACCCGGTCCGCATTGTCATTTTTGGTTTTGCAAACACAGAATGTTTTGTCATTGTTATTGATGGTGATTCTGTTGGATGGAGATAGGATTCCACTGCTGTTTTCCACTTTCCTTGTTAATAACTCCGGTAAAACCACAAGTTTCCAAAAGTTCTGAAGTTTTTCAATCATAGCATTGATGAAGTTATTGTCCCTTTGAACACGGGTGATGACACAATCAATCGGACTCCAAACCACAAAGTCGGTGTAGTCACCATCGCAAACGAACATCTGAAGTTGTACATGCGCAAAGTACTTGTGGGTTTTCTTCAAACTGAAGGTGTCGTCTATACAAAAACTATTGTCTTTCAAAGCCTCTTTTACTTTCGTGTCTCTTATTTTGTATGGGCACTTGATTTCAAGAAGACCTTTCCCACAACACTCACAAAATGTATGGCCATCTGGTGAAGCCCCAAGAAAAGGTTTCTCCACAGATATCACAAATCCGGCCTTCCTCACGTTCCGGGACAAATGTTCTGGAATATTTTTCAGGAATATTTCTCCTTTCGGACAAATGTCTAGTTCACTTTTCTCTACCTTGTTTATGACCTTATACAGCTTAAATGCATCCTCTTCATGAAATTTCCCCCAATTCAGGGCAGGCACATTAGGTGAAGATGTACTTGGTATGCATATCTTTTTCAAAAGGGAAAGTGATGGTTGAGAAACAGAAGTGTGCATTACCTCCCCTGCCACTGAAGCTGTGATACGCCCAGATCGCTGATGATGCCAGGTTAATGAACTTGATTGGCTCTGGGTGATGTCTTCAACATAGTTCACTTGATCATCTGAAATTTTCATGTTATCAAATGTTGTCTGGGATAATTCCAACAGATCTTCATTAGACAATGCAATGTTCCTTTCGTTGTAGATATTCCTAAGAGGTGATGGGATTTTGTTCTCTTCAGGTGGCGGTCCAAGTCCAACGAAATTCTCACCATACTCCTTAAAGGCACTAAGACCCACTAAATTCTCATCCAGAGTGTTTAAAGATCTTAAAAAGTCCTGTTGCTCTATATCTGTTGCTGGTGCTAGGGCTTTCTTCCTGTTCTTTTTCACCAATTTATCTTTTGCTGATTGCTGGTAAAACTTGATATCTGCAATTGGTGCCGGCTGAACATGCTTTGTAAAACACTGGTTCCAGACACAGGAGACAACTGTACAGGCAGACCTAGTATATCCAAGACGAACAGCTGCTTCCATCTTGAATAAGAGAGCACCAATGTGGGAACATGTCTCTCCAAGTCTATAAAAACAAACATATTTTTTTTTACATATACATAATAAATGATAAACAACAAATGAACTTTTTAAAAATATGAGCATAACTAGTTAGATCAACATGGTCATAGAATACAACAAAATATTGACATGTTACTTTTGTATTCATATCGTTACATAAAACCAAACTAAAATCATGATTTAACACAGAACCATTAAAAGCCTCAACTCTTAATTTGTAAGTACTGAAATGTCAATCACATTTTCTCCCTCAACTCATTGTGGTGAATTTGTTTCCATTTGTGAGACCTGCATGGTATTCTACAGAAAATTTACAGTGACAATTGCACTCCATCAAGGAGATCTGTCACTTAATGGAAGATGATGATGATAAAAACTTGGGTGGATTTGTTTCCATTTGTGACACCTGAACAGTATTCTACAAAAAAATAAATAGTTCCACTTACCCTGCCATACAGTCGCAATGGGCAGCAATAACAGGTCCATCTCTCTTTAAGGCGACCCAAGGGTGATGAGGCTCATCAGTCACTCTCCATGATGGTTTTACATCTGCCTTCGTAATCAAATGTCCACTGCTTGTTTTTCTATGGAGGACTGTCTGCACCCATCCAGATACAAAGAATACATGGGCATCAAGGGATCTGTAATTTCCCATAGCCTCTGATGAATATACACCTGTATAAAAGAAGTGATTAAATTATTACACATGAAGGAATCATATACAGCTTAAAATATTCTGTACAATAAACTTGGCTTATTAGCATTTCTGTGGCAATTGAATTAAAATAATACTTAAACACCCTTTATCAATTATAAAATGTGTACTGCAGTACCCATGGAATTTTGGTCATAAAGCTTAAGTGCTTCTTAAAATTGATAAACACTAGTGTTTTTTTTATATATTTATATAAATAATCTTATTTTATTTTGTCTAAATTAAGCCTTAAAAGTTTGTTGCTGGTGTAACTCAAGCCCTTGGAGATTTATTATACATTACAAAATTTTACAGTAGAGATTGACTTAAACCATTTCTCAAAGTGCAGTCTGAAATGTATATATTCAATACAGTCTGGTCAGCACAAATAATACATACAATGCCCGTGACACTGCTTCCCAAGTAATTATTCACCTGTGGAAGGTGAGTCACTGTGCCAAAAATAGAATATTTCATCCGGAATCAAATACATATTTACCTTAGCCATCATTTACGTTAAAACGAAAATCTTACATTTCTCCCTTACGTTTTTGTTTAACAGATGATTGAGCGAGTATCTGTTAGTGCTTCGATACAGTCAATTGCAAAAGGCTTAATACTCACATGGAAATTTGATGAGGTAATTGTAAACATCGTTGTACTCCAATGGTGGCCATTGGTTCGGGTCATTGATCCAGGTGTCGGCGGGGACCTTGTAGGGGCATATATCTTCACCAATGATGTGTATTTTTTCTATATACCTTCCCTTAGCATCTGGGGGTAACTCTTCTTGATATCCAAATGACATGATGCGGTGGCAAGTGACATATTAGAGTTGAAATGTCGCTCCATGAGAGACAATCTCCTCTTTTTTGGTATTGATGAGTCGGATGGTGAAGACTTTAAAGTCGAAGATGACATACGAGTACCTACAGAAGACTGTGTAAACAAGGTTATACGTGTTGTACAAGAAAAACTGGAGGTACGCGAGGAGACCTATGTAGAGCGTGCTCATCGGGTCGGACATAAAGCGGAAGGTAAGGCCAGGCCTATAGTCGCAAGGTTTAAAAGGCGTGACCAAAAAGAAAAAATTAAACAATTAGCACCCAAAAAGTTGAAAGGATCTAAATTTCGCATAACAGAACAATTCCCCTGGGAAGTTCGTGAGACTAGGAGGAGGCTTTGGCCAGCATGTAAGAGTGCTCGGGACGAGGGAAAGAAGGCATACTTTGTGCGTGAAAAGTTGTACATTGATGGTATTTTGTACACCGAGCCTACAGTAATAGCGACCACTACCAAGGACACTGGTGGAGCCATCCCTAAGCCAAGTAATCATGGTAACAGAGCCAGCCAAGGAACAGCTAGTCGTGGTCAAGGCAAAGCTAGTCGTGGACGAGGAAGTGGACGAGGAAATGTCGGTCGTGGACATCATCCTGTTTCATAGGACAATGTGGAGTGTGGGGACACGCCCCAGAATCTCAAAGTTCTATCATGGAACATAAACGGTGGACTTGACAATAAGTTAAAGACAATAAGTTTTTTAAATTATATCAAGACATATGACTTGATTTTTCTATCTGAATGTTGGATACCCAATGATTATTCTTTATCAATTGAGGGGTTTTCGTGTTATATTTACCCTAGATTACTAGTTGTAGGATCTCAAGGTGGTGGGATGGTTATTCTTGTTAAAAACGTGTTTGTAAATTATGTATCTGTAATTGAATCAATATATGATTCAATCATATGGTTAAAGGTATCGAAAACCCTTATTGATAACCAAAATGA